TTAAACAGCGAATTAATATTATTTATTTCGAGTTCTGCGTTATTTAATCCAAGAAATCCTCCGCTACACACACCAATGTCCACAAATTAATGATGAAAGGAGAAGCATAATTATCCTCTCTCCAACAAATTCCATCAAGCCGTTATATTAGATTACTAGCGGCCGGCCTCGCTTCGCTTCGGTGTAGAGCTGAAGTGTAGACTAGAGTTTTTGTTCTCAGGCTTGTATTATACACAATGACATTCATCTATGATTCTTCTTATACCTGCATGCAAAGTCTCAGCCCTATCGGTTTAAAATTGACAAAGTTTCATACAAACTTTCATTCCCTATTTTATCCCCTTGGGGGTAGAATTGATCAAAATCCTTTCTTAGCGGATGCCTACGTCATAATATCTACCTGCATGGCAAATTTCAGCTCGATCCGTCCTGAGGTTTGATCAGTGCGTTGATAGATCACTATGTCAGTCAGTCACCTTTGAGTTTTATATATGTAGATGTATCTACTTACTGCCTTTTTTTAAACTTCAACGGTGAGAGTCCAAATATGTCTAATTCTGCAAAGTTTGTGTTTTAATTCCAGGACCTGCCCTCATCTAGTGTACCTCATGTAGTGTACTCAAGCCCTGCAACCGAGGGGCCTACTGTCTATCGGGATTGCTTCGGCTTTTGCTACAGCTTACGAATTCATTTTGTCACTTCTGACCGCCGAAGGTTTTCAAATACTTCGCGCTCTTTTTGCATTGGTAATAGCAATATTAAAGAATATTATACGCGGTGGGCCGCCAGGGGTAATAACCCAATCAGGAGCGATTGAAAGTACAATTATAGGTAAATTAACACAAGATTCAATTACACTTGACCAATTACTTAATTTAATATTTGTTTTAACATTCTCTTTGACCTTGAGTCTCGTCGACGAATTTAATAAAGCAAGATATAAACATTACATCAAAGAAATCTTAAAAGGTGAGAGCGAGGATCGAATATAAGGTAAAATTGTTTTATGTGCTAATTATTTCAGTTAAGAATGTCTTAATTTTTTTCTTTCCGTGTATTTATTATATAAAAAGATAACTATTTTCTATGATATATTTATTTTTAAGGAAAAACAAAGCATTATTTCGCAGTATAAGATATTAAAAATCGCAACTTCGCAAAAAATGCTAATTGGCTTTATTTAAACTAGGAGAGACCAACCGCATTCGTTAAGTCACGCTAATTAATATTTACTGGTCTGGAAGTTAAGGTTCTTCATATTTCTAACGACCGAGTTATTTTAAACCCATTTACTTGTCCCTATTAGTTTTGCTTCTAATATTATTTTTGCAACTCTTTATTATAATTTTTATTATTTTTAAAGCATGTAACTGCTTGATGTTTAAATCTAAAGAAGATATAACTAGAAAAAAATCCACGCGGACGAGGCAGCAGACGGGACTCGAACCCGCACCCTTCGCAATCCGGGCGAATGCACTGACCAATTATGCTACCGCGGCCCTCACGGACCGCGTCGAAATTCTTCTAGCCATTCTTAAGCTGCAAGGCAGCGCCATCTCTTCGCATTATAGGTAACCCACAATGTCAAATGAAAATGGTGCGGGTTCGAGTCCCGTCTGCTGCCTGGTCCGCGTGGAATTTTTTCTAGTTATATTTTCTTTAGATTTAAACTCTTTATTAATTTGTATAACGTACCTAGTTATCTAACATGATCCTTGAAATGGTTACTAATTTTGATAGAGTAAATCCTTATCATGCTCTATATAGAAGGAAAAGTGAAGTCTCATTTCGAATTTAGTTATAAATTTAAGAGCAAGAGACTCATTTTGAATACTTACGAACTACCACTTTGGCGACGCAGTAATGCTTACCTGAAAAAAATCAAAGATCAGTTAATTTTTGCAGATTCAATAGAAAAAACGAGCGAGCCTTACAGTTGTCGCGTATGATGTGTAACATTTGAAACCTCACCTTATATTAGTAAAAAAAGAAATAAAACCTACTACAAAAGGAATAAGACATTTGAACATTATGTTCTAAAATCAAATCAAATAGCGCGCGCTTTCGCGACTTCCTGTTACACACTGTAACGTTACACTCCCCTTATAGAGATAGGAGAGTGTAGCGGAAGAGAGAGGCGCTTTAGAGAAAGAAAAGAAAGAATAAAATTTGGAAGAAGTTAAAGAAAAAGAATTCTAAAAACTAAGAAAGGAAAAAGATAAATATGGTAAATAACACAGTAATTTATTTTGTACAAAGCCTAATACAAAAAAAAAGGGTGCGTGTACTTATGTAGGCGCGTGAGAAGTTATCCTTCTTTGGTATCGTTTAAAATTAGTTTTTAATTGCATGCAAATAATTAATTACAATAAATTAATAAAAAGTCTGGAAAAGGACACAGTCAATAAAGTTCAGTTTTAATTTGAAAAAATAAATAAATAATCAAAATATTCAATTAAAATCGCTACTGAATATAATTTATTAGAACATATGTGATTTGCACTTGTATGAAACTCAAACACGTATTCCGAATATACAAACTAGAAACATGTGGATAAATATTAAAAATATGAATACCTATAACTGTTACTTTATTACAAAAAATAAAGATGTGGTTTTTGGTTCTACTACACCAATGGTCAAGAGATGGCGCAGTATTCTCCTGAATCGCGCTTTGGTTCCGTTGTTCCAGATTAATAAATACTTTTGATAGGCCTTCACAATGCAGTCGTTAGCACCCACAAAATAGAGATTCTATTTCTATTTTGTTGGTAGATTTTCTTAATGTGCGGTAAACACAAAAGTCGCTTCAGCGACCAACTTCATGCTGTTAATTTTTTGTGTTACAGTGATGCGCGCGCATCTTAAAATTTCACTCTCTAAATTTTTTCATAACGCGCCTAAATAAGTATAACTTCAAAAGGAGAGAGAGAAAAACTTAAAAATAACTAAAAGAGTCAACCGCACTCGTGAACTCGCGGCGCGCTCGGGAGTGGTGGCGCGCTCGGGAGTAGCGGCGCGCTCGGGAGTGGCGGCGCGCTCGGGAGTAACGGCGCACAGCAGGAGAAGTGGCGGCTCACTCACGGTCAGCCGCGCACCAGCCAAGCCAAGGTGACAGTATGCCACAGGAGAACCGGAGATCGGAGACACAGCACGAAGATAGGTTTTGCACGGAATATATTTACGTGGGGCCTTTTTGAGTCCCGGGTCTATGCCAAAGGCCCGGGAACGGCCAGAACTACAGTGTGTAGCTTGCGAGCGAAACTCGACGACTCGATCAAGATGCCAGGCGCTAAGAGTTTTTATACCGAATTGCCTGATATTCAATTTTGAAATCCGAAAGAAAAAGAAATTAATAGAACGAGCCAAAACAAAAGAAACATTTTTGAATTTTGAAGAAGACATTTATGGTCTCTCTCGGCAGACGAAACTATGAAACTATTTATAGGTGGAGAAAAAATTATGATACGGAAGTGGCGTGAAGCGGCAATATGAAAAATCAGCAAAGTTTAAACAATAAGAAATTTTAAGTAAATATTATTTATGGAAATGAGTAAAAATGTACGAGGGTTATAATAAATAAACATAGAAAAAAAGGGCCGTGAAGCGGCGAGTAAATAGATACCGAGATAGTACCATAAACATAGAATTTTGAAAAGTTGAGAGCCAAAAATAGGTTTTCAATAGAGCACTTAAAACTAGCTTATAATTAAGAATTGGAACGACAGACAGACACGCCACAACACTTCCGTCCCATTTCACAAAATCACTTCCACAAATTGCAGGAATGCGAGCGGAAAGATGTTACACATCAACAAAATTACAAAACACTAAGTCATCGCACATCTTTGGCATCAAACATCATATTTTAGAGTTCCGTTGTAAATGGGTTACAACGGTATCAAGTACTAAGACTCCGTCATTTTGATACCTGTCCGTCTGACAAATGACTGTATATTTATCAGAAACCGTAATAGCCAGACAGTTACTCCCTTATTAATAAACAAAGAATAACCTTGGATTAGTTACTCCATGGTTTGTCTCTGTTCATTGAATGACAAATGATATTTGGGTGATATGACCAAAACACGGCGTAACTAGTCTAATCTTATTCCTCGATTACTAATAAGGGGAATAGCATCTTAGCATGCGCTCTTAAATGGCCCTACAAATTTCAAAACTGTACCTGGCTTCAAAATACATTCCCTCTACACGCACTTATGCCGCGACTAGCGGCCCGCCCTCGCTTCGCTTCAGTGTAGAGCTGAAGTGTACTATATGTATTATAATATACAATGACACTCATCTATGATTCTTCTTATACCTGCATGCAAAGTCTCAGCCCAATCGGTTTAAAATTGACAAAGTTTCATACAACCTTTCATTCCCTATTTTATCCTCTTGGGGGTAGAATTGATCAAAATTCTTTCTTAGCGGATGCCTACGTCATAACATCTACCTGCTTGCCAAATTTTAGCCCGATCCGTCCAGTGGTTTGGGCTGCGCGTTGATAGATCACTATGTCAGTCAGTCACCTTTGAGTTTTATATGTATACATTAAACTTGATCGTTAGCTTGAATACGAGGTGCCAATGGAATTCGGGTAAACGACTAAGTGTATATGAACGGGGGCGAGTACGCCCATATTCTATGCGTTACCCTAGCATCCCATGACACAAACCTTACAGTGCTAACTTTGGGGCTAGGCTAATTGGTGTGAGTGTTGGAAATATTAATTTTTAATATTTTTAATACCATTTAAAGTACAGATATAGTTATCCATGACTTGTATGATGACACAGGACTGAACGTACGCGAGTTCGGTTCGCACATTGCTCATTTTCTAAGTAATGACATCAGAGTTGAATTTCAATAGTGTTTTTAAACTGGGTGACTGCATGTTTTCAAACATTACAACTGTGATTTCCTTATATAAAAAGAGTTTTGGACTTCCTGCTTTCAGTCTCTTGGGGTAGTTGCTTGAAGCAAGTTTGTTTTGAAATCTGTAGTTTGTGATGTTATCACGTAAGTGTAGAGTAAGATGCTAGGCCCGTCAGACCTTCTCTATTTTCTGATGAGCAAAATATGGGCAATCGCGTTGTATTAGTATGTGTAAGTTCACTGTAGACAGTGAACTTATACATACTAACTCGTGCTCTGGGTCAATTCTAGGGTATCAGGTGGTGTAGGTACGTATGAAGTTTATTAATTTACAGTGTGAAGATGGATTCTTAATATTTTCCATCAGAAAATAAGTGAGGTCTGGCGGCTATTGGGATCTTGCGACTAAAAATTCGCGTTTCTTTTTGTATACAAGTGTTTTATTAGTGCAGTTACGTAATTATTTCTTTCCCAATTCTATTCAAAATAAGCATCTACATTACACTGAAATGAGTTATAAATTTAGATTATTTTCATGTAGATGGAAATCAAAAATTTCGTTTAGTCATTTGAGCTCTGTCTAAGTGCTGACTAGTAAAAAAATTCAAAAATTCAGTAATTTTCTTATCAAATTTTAGCAATGTGGAATATTCTGATAGTATTCGTAACAATATCAGTTGCTTATGGCAAGAATGATCACGTGGACTTGACACAAGACTGGTGGGAGACGGCTGTCTTCTATCGGATATACGTGCGGTCCTTCATGGACAGCGACGGAGACGGCGTCGGAGATATCAATGGTACCTAACACTTGTTTATCCTTAGATTTATCAACTGGCACAATCGGGTATATTTTACAAATATCTGATAACAATTACAAAATATATTTGTCGTAGTCACGGAGATATTAACTGCGTAATGACGAGATCCGTGGCCGAGTGGTTTATACGCCGGGTTTCATGGTGTCGCCGACTCGAGGGTTCGAATCCCGCTGGGGGCAGATGTTTGTGTGATGAATACGAGCATTTGTACTCCAGTCATGGATGTTTATATGTATTTCTATATAAATATAAATGTATTCTATCCGTTACCCTAGCATCCCATAACACAAGATTTACAGTGCTTACTTTGGGGCTAGACTAATTGGTGTGAGTGTTGGAAATATTTATTTATTATTTATTTATTATCATCATCAACCTATTAATGTACCCAGTGCTGGGGTACAGGCCTTCCCTATGGATGGAATTTGGGAGATTGGGTAATGACCCACCAGGACCAATAGCTTAAAGTGCCTTGCGAAGCACGGAGGAACTCAAGATAGAAGAACCAATCTAACCACTTGCACCATCGAGCTCATTGTTTAAGGTATCAATAACCTCGTTAACTTATCATTTTGCAAATTTGTTTGTACAGGCATCACTTCGAGATTGGAGTACTTAAAAGAAATAGGCGCGGAAGCGGCCTGGTTGTCTCCCATCTTTAAATCGCCCATGAATGATTTCGGTTACGATATCTCCGACTTCTACACCATACAGCCTGAGTACGGCTCTAACGATGACTTCGAGCAACTCCTCAAAAAGGCTAATGAACTAAGTGAGCACCTTTATTATTCATGGGCCTATCCGTTACGTAAATTTATGCATTAGACGCAGGGGAATCATCAACACTTTTGACTTGGGCCAAATTTGTTTATCCATCGGAAGGAATACTTAATTGAACATGGGCTTGATTTTTTGTCATAATCCTATCCATATATTATAGGGCAATGTTGTGCTCGAATATTTTTTATAGAAAATTGTTAAATAACTGGAATATGTTGATGTTGAGATTTTTATTGCGACCTCCGATTCCTAGGCACACATAAGCAATAAATAAAGCATACTTATTTAATAAAAGTAGTTCGAATATTTTAATCCATAAAGTAACACTCAAATACAGATGGTTTCCTCAAATATTTTTAGACATCAAGATCGTATTAGATTTTGTTCCAAATCATACGAGCAATGAAAGCGAATGGTTCATAAAGTCCTCGAGCAGAGAGGAGTACTACAGCGACTGGTACATATGGGAGAACGGTCACATAGGTCACGCGGGGGAGCGGCAGCCACCCAATAACTGGGTAAAAAAAATTTTATCATTTATTTCACTTAATAAGCTTACGTCACCGTATTCAATATTCACATGAATCAGGGCTTCTTAACCGGTTAATTTTAAACCTAAATCAGTATCAAGTACATTAGGAGCGTTTTATTTAGGTTTGGCTCTACCTTAACCTTAAAAAAACCGGTTTCCCTAAAAAGCGAAATCAAATAGGTTTTGAATCGATTTAGCGGTTTATAAAGGGTTTCATTTCGCTCTTACTGACGGCATCGCCTTCGCCGTTTCAATTCAAATTTATAAAGATTTTCTGTCAGTTTCTTTCCAACTACAGAGCGAGTGAGTGAAGTAGTGTGTCAGTACACAACTACAAAATGAATAACTTGAATCACTAGACGCTAGCAAACGTGTCAATAAATGCATCAATCTCTGAGCATTGACAAGTTGTGACTTGTTTAGTTCAAACAAAACAAATTTCAGGCGATGTCGACGCGTGCACGTGTAGCTCTGGATTAAACCGGTCCATTAAGGTTTTAGGTACCGCTTTCATTTCGGACGCGGTCCGAACGAAACCTTTACTAAAAACCGGTATTAACCTTTATTTACCGGAATTTTCAAAACCGGTTACAAGCCCTGACATGAATATCGTAGGTACACGAGTGTCACCTGCGTCTGATAGCTTCGTTATTCATTTTAAAGCTTCGAAAGTTATATGAAAGTTAAATTGATCCGATTACTTTAAATATTGCTGTTCGTGTCAATTTATTGTTTAATCAACTCTACACACGAGTGATATGAATGAAAGAAGTTTTAATTTTAATATCCTACTTATAGGTCAGCTCGTTCGGAAAGAGTGCTTGGAGTTACTCGCCTGCCAGAGACCAGTACTATCTTCACCAATTCGGTGTTGCCCAACCTGATCTGAACTATAGAAACCCTGTGGTGGTTGATGAAATAAAAGTGAGTGAGCGTTTCTGAGATGTTAAACCTATTAAAAATAAATTGTGTGTGTCAGCTCCGACGCACGACCGGAGTTTACACTCTAAAAACGATTATCTTTGAACAGACACAAAACAAAATCAAGTCCAAAGAAGTCGATTACAAGTAGAGATACCTCAGGAATCGTCCCATGGTTTCGACTATCATAGGTTCCATGTCACACATTTTAACATCTAACATCAGCGATATTCATCATATATTTTATTATGTAAATACATTATCCAGAAATCTGGAAACACACAATTTCAAAAATATCACACACTAGTCATCATTTTGTAAATATGTATTATAATTCCATCTGTACTGAAAATCACTATTCCAGAGTGCTAGACACTTACCGGCATTTCTCTATATTCTGTTATTTATTTGTTTTCACTAATTTTGCTCCGATTTTGTCTATTTTTAGTTTATTTATTTTATTGACATTTGTGACAACTTAATGTTTTTTGGCCGTTTCCATGGCTAAAAGTGAAAGGTGCGCAGATGAGGTTGCGCACTTTTGTGCGCAACCTCATCTACGTAAGTAAAGAGGTCATTAATGTCATTCATCGATAGATTTTACTCCTCACATTTTTATCATACCGGACCCCTTAGATATGCAAATCGATTTTTAAGAAGTAAACTCCAAAACATATTTTTGAGTGCGAAATAACGTCACCATAATGATTATATTTTTTCTAGAACATCATTAAGTTTTGGTTGGAAAAAGGAATAGCCGGTTTGATTATGAACTCTGTTAACCACGTTTTCGAAGTAGATAAAGACAATTACGGTGGTCACTACCCTGACGAACCAATCACTGGAAAGCCAGGGCTATCGCCTGATGATTATGGGTATTTGGAGCATGTCTATACGAAGGACCAAGAAGAAACTTATGAGCTGGTGTCGCAGTTGAGGGAGGTGTTCGATGCTATATCAATTCGTGACAATATGACAAGGTCTGCTATGATTTATCTTTTGATGAACATGAATTTCAATAAGATTTATATTTTGTTAAGTAAAAGGTATATTTAGTTTTTAAAATTACTGCTTTAATAGTTGTCTTAAATCTAGATAGCGAATTATAATTATAATAGATGAAATGGATCAATAATACTTTAATATAAATAGATATAAATTCAATGTAGCTGCAATGATAACCTCTAATTTCAATACCGCTGGTTTAGTGTACGAATCTTAATGTAATAAATGTTAAACCAAAATCCAGAAGTTCTAAATAGAACAAAATGTCAATAATATTACTTTTGAATATTATATAGAAACAATAATGACACAGATTATATTCTACAACAATATGGTGCAATATGAACAAATTTAAGAATAATTAAAACAAAAAATATACTATAACAATGAACCTAAAACTAAAAACCTTAAAAAATAAAATATAATAACTAAAATACATTATTAAAAGGAGTCCCTTTAGACAAGGTTCCGAAGATACTGGCAGCGTTCCCCCTTTGGATAGCTAGACTAATTCTTTGTCCGAGGTAGCTGCCAGCTCTTCGGTCTCCAAAAATTGAAATTAAAAAAATTAAAATTAACAAATTAATAATAATAATAATTATTAATTTCTTAACAAAATTGTCGTATATTAACAAAAAACGTCAGACGTAAGCTCAACAAGATCACATTTCAAATTTCGTTTCATTTTCCCCACAGGATCATGATGACAAATGCTTACACGAACATCAAAAATGCAGTGAAGTATTACGGCGATGGGATCCTTTATGGGTCACACGTCCCTTTAAATTTTGTTCTCATTGAGGATCTCGATAAATACTCAGACGCGAGGGATATCAAATACGCGGTGGACCGCTGGATCACTTACAAGCCGCTGAGGAAGCAAGCTAATTGGCTTGTAAGTAAATCCTCTAGATTTTTTGCCTTTAATTTGATACAAAATAGATACACACTTTCAAAGTACAAAATCCCAGTGGCAGATTAACAGGGATAATATCATCATCATCATCAGCCTATTAATGTCCCCACTGCTGGGGCACAGTTCTTCCCTATGGATGGTGTGGAGGATAAGGACTGTATTTTAATTATTATTAGAGAAAATAAAACAGTGGTGTCAGTGACAAGGTAAAACAATCAATTTAATGTCAAAGAATAACAATCTCAATAAAAAAAGTATCAAAAACTCCTAGACAAAACATAGTGATATAAAAGGTGCGCTATCCGGCACAGATGGGTTAGGGAGATTGGGCCATGACCCACCACGCGGGCCCAGTGCGGGTTGGTGGGTGCTAACGACTGCAGATGCAGCCGGGACCAACGGCTTAACGTGCCTTCCGAAGCACGGAGGAGCTCAAGATAGTAAATTTTTGGTCAATAATAATAATATAATATAATATATATATATATATAATTCTTCTGTGAGTGTGTATGTCACTGAACTTCTCTTAAACAACTGGACCGATTTTGATGAAATTTTTTGTGTGTGTTCAAGGGGATCTGAGAATGGTTTAGATTCACAATTTTGTCCGCTGGACAATGTTTTTTTAATTAATTTTTTTTATGGCGGTACGAAGTTCGCTGGGTCAGCTAGTATATATATATATTTATACAGGGATAATATGGAATATTGAAATTCAATGCAATAAAACAAATGAATGGGGCTGCTTGAAAATTTTATTATAACTACATTTTGAACCACAACAGAGACTAAATCAAGGTTATTCATCATCGTTACGAGCTTATTAATGCCCGCTCTTCTGAATCGATAGAGGCTGTATTATTACAGGCTCTATCAATCTTCTCTTTGAATCTTTATAGATTCAATATAAATAATTATTACAGCCTCTTTATTGATAGTCTACAGACGATCACGATTTAGTATTCTCATTGGTGGTATCTATCTCTATCGACTTATTTTATTAGTATAGGATAAGTGTTGGATTATCTGATAGATATTCGATTATTGGATCAGTGATCTTTAGCATTAGCCTATTATCGTTCTTACTACTGTAGAAGCTCAACACAGTCCAGTACGAATAACTGGGTGATAACGGAGTTCAAAAACATATCATGTGAAAACTATGAAATGGTACTTTCATAAGTTTTAGTCATATAGCCAGTGGTTGTAATTTAGGTTGCAAACAAAATCTAATAGATTTTATATTTATAATTTTTATTGAAGTTATACTTCTTTAGGCGCGTTATGAAAAAATGATGAGAGTGAAATTTTAAGATGCACGCGCATCACTGTAACACAAAATTTTAACATAATGAATTTTGTGTTTACCGCACATTAAGAAAATCTACCAACAAAATAGAAATAGAATATCTATTTAGTGGGTGCTAACGACTGCATTGTGAAGGCCTATCAAAAGTATTTATTAATCTGGAACAACGAAACCAAAGCGCGATTCAGGAGACTACAGCGCCATCTCTTGACCATTGGTGTAGTAGAACCAAAAACCACATCTTTATTTTTTGTAATAAAGTAACAGTTATAGGTATTCATATTTATAATATTTATCCACATGTTTCTAGTTTGTATATTCGGAATACGTGTTTGAGTTTCATACAAGTGCAAATCACATATGTTCTAATAAATTATATTCAGTAGCGATTTTAATTGAATATTTTGATTATTTATTTATTTTTTCAAATTAAAACTGAACTTTATTGACTTCGTCCTTTTCCAGACTTTTTATTAATTTATTGTAATTAATTATTTGCATGCAATTAAAAACTAATTTTAAACGATGCCAAAGAAGGATAACTTCTCACGCGCCTACATAAGTACACGCACCCATTTTTTTTAAGCATGTAACTGCTTGATGTTTAAATCTAAAGAAAATATAACTAGAAAAAATCCACGCGGTCAGGAGCAGACGGGATTATTTTTTCTAGTTATATTTTCTTTAGATTTTATATTGTTTGCTGTACCTTTAGTCTTATAAATTTAACGCGTGGGTAACCAACAAGAACTGACTTTATTCAAAAAAAAACATACAGTTGACATATTCTATACCAGAGGGCGCTACTAGTCTTCAATGGATGATATTGTCGATACAAAAAGACACAGAATAACACCCCCACTTATCGCAATATTCACCAAACAATTTTTATACAATTCATTCGATATAAATTATGCCAAGAAGCAACATGAATTTATAATGTTTTGCTGAACATAAACTTTTAGTTAGAATGTCAGCCGGCATATCAGCTGTTGGCAAATACAGTACTTTTACAATTTTATTTTTTATTAGATCACGACAAAAATGATATTTGATATCAATGTGCTTTGTACGTTTGTGAAAGACTGGGTTTACACACAGCTTCTGTGCACCCTGGTTATCATTGAATAGACTGATTGTGTACATCTTATCAGTTATTTCATATTGTAATTCCTTTAAATACAATGCTTCTCTACATGCCTCAGATAGACCTATATACTCTGATTCAGTACTAGAGAGGGCTACATGTTTCTGTTTCCTACATTCCCATGATATTACACCATTAGATAACAAAAAACACATTCCAGTATATGATCTCCTATCTATAGAGTTAGAGGCCCAATCAGCATCTACATAGCCTGTTATTTCTGAATTACCTTCTTTACAATATTTTATTCCATAACATTTAGTTCGTTTTAGATATTTTAATACTCTCTTTGCATATTCCCAATGCTCCTTTGTGTGGCAATTATTAAATTGACTTAGAAAACTTATAGAGTAACTAATGTCTGGTCTAGTTAGGACTGACAGATACATCAAACTACCAATTAGTTGTTGATAGGGCACGTGATTATTTATATCTACTTGACCTTTGTTTATATTTAGTTTGACCTCCATGGGAGTATCAACAGTCTTACAATCACTTAAATGAAATTTGCTCAAAAGTTGATCAATATAAGTTTCTTGACTCAGAGTAACATATCCTAAATCTTTATTGAAGGTCACATTCATTCCAAGACATTGTTTAACTTCACCTAAGTCCTTAATGCTAAACTTATTAGATAACATCTCTTTCAAGTTCTTTGTTTCAATTTTATCATTAGAAAATATAAAGAAATCGTCGACATAGACTGTTACAATGGTCTTAGATTTGTTATTATTCTTTATATACATACATGGCTCAACTTTTGATCTTTTGTAACCATTACTGATTAAACAATTATCCACCTTTTTATTCCATGCTCTAGAGGCCTGCTTAAGACCATAAATAGCCTTTTTAAGTTTCAATACTTTACAAATTGAACTACTACTATCATAACAATCAGGCATCTTCATGTAAATAGTTTCCTCTAAATCACCATTCAAGAAAGCAGTCTTGACATCCAAATGGTTAACATCTAAACCTAACTTTACAGACAATGCAAATAATAGTCTTAGAGTTGTGTGTCTCACTACAGGCGAAAAAGTTTCTGTATAGTCTACACCATATTTTTGGGTGAAGCCCTTTGCGACTAGGCGAGCACGGTAACGCACTTTATTTTCACTGTCGTACTTTTTCCGCAGAACCCACTTGCACTGCACTATAGTACCATTTTTTGGTACATCTACGATTTCCCATGCACTATTTTTCTCAAATGACTGTAACTCATCTTGCACTGCCGCTAACCACTGTGCTTTCTCAGGACCTTCCAAAGCTTCTTGCAACGATAACTCACCCGTGAATATGTTGTCATCTTCTATACAAGCACCTACAAATCCATATCTGTCTGGCTGTTGCCTACATCGAGGACCACTCGTTATGTTGGCATTGTTGAGTATTATGGAGTCGTCACTGTCTGTTGTACTAGTATCAGAGCCACCCAATGTATCATATTCACAAGGTACATACAGTTCACCACTGTCATCTGTGTTCAATTGTTCAAGTGAATCTTCCACAAGTGTCAAATCTTTTTCCCCCACTGGAACCATATTCACTTCATTTGAACAACTTTCCTGTACCTCCAGAACATTTTCTGTCTCTACCTTCTCCAATACTATAACATCTCGACTGGTGGTGATGCTATTAGACTTTGGGTTGTAAATCCTGTATCCTTTGACATCATTGGAATAGCCAACAAGGATACATTTTTCTGATTTTTTGTCCCACTTTAATCTCTTTTGTTTTGGCACATGTACCATGATTGTACTACCAAAAACACGTAAATGACTTACATCAGGCTTTCTGCCTGTCCATATCTCAAAAGGTGTTTTATAATTTAATGATGGGGTCACAGTCCTGTTCTGTAAATACACTGCAGTGTGTGCCGCCTCTGCCCAAAAATTTTTCGCAAGACCTGCATCGAACAGTAGACACTTGGCTTTCTCAACGATAGTCCGGTTGTATCGTTCTGAGAGACCATTCTGCTCAGGTGTGTATGGGTTTGTTTTGTGATGTACTATCCCATGCAACATCAAAAAATCATCAAACCTACTGTTGCAGAATTCTGTCCCATTGTCACTTCTCAAGATCTTTATGCGGCGATTAAGTTGATTCTCAACCTCTGCTCTATACTGTTGAAAGCATCTCAGTGCCTCATCTTTTGCTTTCAAAAAATAAATATATGTCATACGACTAAAATCATCTATGAACAGCATAAAGTATCTAGAACCACCTATAGATCGGTTTTCCATTGGTCCGCATAGATCGGTATGCACAATTTGTAGCAATTCAGTACTTCTGTTACCTTCTTTGGGAAAAGGTAGGCGGCTCTGCTTGCCCTCACAGCATGCGACACATGATGACTTTGTTAAGTCAGTCTTGTTATCAAGTGTCAATCCCTGTACAGCATCTTGCATCTTGTTCAAATATTGGCTGTTGACATGACCTAGACGTCGATGCCAAACTTCACTGGACACCATCACTGCAGCTGATGAACAATATTCAGGCATATTCAGTTTATACACCCCATTCAACAGATTCGCTGTAGCCACCAGTACTCCTGCTTGGTTGAAAATCTGACAACCACAATTGTTAAATGAAACTTTGTTTCCTTTCGATATAAGTTGACTAACAGACAATAGATTTGTAGTCAACTTCGGCACGCATAATACACCTTGTACTGTAATATCGTATTCACAGTCTCGCGTCTTTGTCGTAATCTGCACATCTCCAGTACATAAAACAGGTACTTTATCTTTGTTTGCCACGACAATATTCTTGATAATATGATCCCGCGACACATTTGACAGCCATTCTTCATTCGCGGTAAGATGAACACTCGCCCTGGAGTCAATATACCAATCACTTTTGCAAAATTCACCATTCAGGAACACTGCGCTAAACGCATTACTGCTTGTACGTTCATTTTTATTTATATTCGACGAATTTTTATTCACAACTGCACACTGGTTGCGGTAATGCCCTGTTTGTTTACATTTGTAGCATGTTATAACTTTTGGTTTTGATTTTGACATTTGGGCGTTGTCTTTGGTCGCAGTGTTACCAACATTCCGGTTCTTCTTGAAACTCGCAAACGCGCCATTGGAATTGAAAGCACTTTTGTTGCCTTCGTTTCCGCTTTCGTCCATGTCCAACAACTTGGTTTTAATGGCGTCCGCTGTCAATGGTATGCCGCAATGCTCGATCGCCATTATCATAGGAGAATATTTTTCTGTTAATCCCGCTAACAAAAGCGATGCTACCCACTCATCATTAATGTTGAAACCGGTACCACTTAATTTTTGGCTCGTTTCGATGATTTGTGTCACGTATGAAGTCATTGAAACGCTATTTTCGAGTCGTATGGAAATCAAACTCCTCAGTAAACTGATTCTCCTCGTAAAACCTGAATCATCAAATAGGCTCTTCAATTTCTTCCACAGTTCATAGGTCGTTTGTACACTCTTTATATGTACGTACAGCGACGAATCTATTGTCAGAATTAACTTGGCTCTTGTTTTCGCGTCACTTGCTGCTCCTATTTCTGCTGGTACAGTCTCCAACTTGATGCAATCAGACATTCCCTCCAGAACTAGGAAATTCTCAGCCGCAAAAGCCCACTCACTATAGTTCTCTCGCCCTTTCAATTTAGGCACACTGACTAGGTAGTTCGTGGTCATTTTTACAGTCACAGCGTTAATTACAGTTTTTCTCAATCTGCAAAATCTATTTCCACTAGGAATGTTCAAGTAAATTGCGAGAAAAAACTAAAAAAACTGAGCACATAACCTCTTATAAATTAAACGCGTGGGTAACCAACAAGAACTGACTTTATTCAAAAAAAAACATACAGTTGACATATTCTATACCAGAGGGCGCTACTAGTCTTCAATGGATGATATTGTCGATACAAAAAGACACAGAATAACATTTAGCGAGCACCAATATCGAATTCCATGTTGATACGCGTCAAATGCCAAGAAGTTTTTTAATAGGAATTTGAACAGCGTCACAACGGATATAAGGAGAATTTAAAATCTTCCACACAAAACTTCTTGACAATAGGTATTTGACATTATTAAAAATAAAGTGCCATATGTTGGTTATCTGTGTTTAGAATGAATATTGGCAGGGGTTTTTGCTATTTTTACAAACAAAATATTTCTAATTTTACTTTTAAAAACCCACGAAAAGGATAATAGTTTTCTTATCTACTGTCACGTGACCCAAAACCTTAGGATTGGCGGAGCCTAAAATGACGTCACACGCAAGTAAACTTCCGGTTAAAGTGACATTACATTGTATCGTTTGACGTTTTAATAACAGTCTGGTGACGTCACACACTAGTAAGACGCCATACTGTCCAGAGAAACGTTTTCGCGGCAACTTGAAAACGGAGTTTTTGATTTGGTTATTTTTACTGAAATACACAACAAATTGGAGGAACTCGATGGCGCCAGTGGTTAGCGCGTTCGGCTGCGGTCGTAGACGTTGAGCAACTTTCGCAGTGGTCGGTCATTGGATGGGTGACCAAAAATTTACTATCTCGAGCTCCTCCGTGCTTCGGAAGGCACGTTAAGCCGTTGGTCCCGGCTGCATCTGCAGTCGTTAGCACCCACCAACCAGCACTGGGCCCCCTGATAATTATGATGATGATGACTCAACAGAATGATTAATATCCACTTTTTACGGACTCCATAAACATTAGTCAATCACTTGAGATCGTTTTCTAAAACTTGTCAAATACCCTATTGACGCGTATCGAGATCAATTTCAATATTAGTTTGTACTATATACTACTAATGCCGCTTCCTATACACTACTTAAAATGTTAACTATAAAATTAATTGTAACTATATATTTATATTCTAGATGATGTAATGGAAAGTGACTTCAGACGTATTTATGAAGTAATTTTTCAACTTGACGACACTGTATATAACAATACAGGGAGAAAAAAACAGCCCTTGCTGAGTTTCTTGCCGGTTCTTCTCAGTACAAGGTCTCCCGCCGTAGTTTTGCGAACCGATGGCGTAGCTTCTTGACCTTCACAAGTGCTTGTAACAGCCTAGACTGAATAAATGACATTTCATTTCATTTCATTTCATTTCATTTCATTTCATTTCATATAGGTACAGTACTTTAAATAACTAAGTGTGTCCTTTAATACTTCAAGACTGGAGACCATGACCGAAGCCGAGTGGCGTCACGATTCAGGCCTGAGCTGGTGGATGCTTTTAATATGCTTGTACTACTCCTACCTGGGATCGCTATTACGTACATGGTATATAAATTGAGGAGCGTCGGAACAAAAACCGATAAGTCACATTTGTGTTTTTTGCGGAAAAATGTAAAAATGTGGCCAAGTTTATAGTTATGATTTTATTTATTTTTAAAGCATTTAACTGCTAGATGTTTAAATCTAAAGAAAAGTTTACTAGAAAAAATCCACGCGGACCAGGCAGCGGGCGGGACTCGAACCCGCATCCTTCGCTATCTGGGCGAATGCACTGACCATTATGCTACCACGGCCCTATTAGCCGCGTCGAAATTTTTCCTAGCCTTAAGCTGCAAGGCAGCGCCATCTCTTCGCATTGTAGGTAACCCACAATGTCAAATGAATACTTTTTCAAGTATTAAACATTTGAAAGAAGAAATAGCAATTATAGTTATGATTTTATTTATTTCCTTTTATTTATTTATTTCGTTATGTTTATAGTTTTTAAATTGAGAGTTAAACGAAATCTATCAAATTGTAGGTGTTGGCATCACTCTTTGGAAACCTAAATTCTGCAATCGTGGCTATGGTACCTATTGAGTTATAAAAAAAAGAAAATGGATATATCGGTTATTGACCAAACCAATTAGATTTATCGGTTTTTGATAAAACACAGTAGGATATAGCGGTATTTGATAAAACGCTGGTACGATATTAGGGCAGATTTACACTAATTTATCCTACATATTGTTTTATGGTTTTGTCATGAGAAACTCTAAATTAGATATATCGGTTTTTGACAGAATCAAAAGAGTCGACAGTAAAAAATGTAAAGGATTTATTGGTATCTGTTCCAATCGCCATCGTTGTTTAGTGCGATTGATGTAATTATCCTCAATATAATAATATTGAGGTTTTTAAATCTAAAGAAAAGTTTACTAGAAAAAAAAACCACGCGGACCAGGTAGCGGACGGGACTCGAACCCGCACCCTTCGCTATCCGGGCGAATGCACTGACCATTATGCTACCACGGCCCTTTTCGCCGCGTCGAAATTTTTTTCCTAACCTTAAGCTGCAAGGCAGCGCCATCTTTTCGCATTGTAGGTAATCCACAATGTCTTTAAGGTTTTTGTTCAGATTCGGGTATTTTGAGTCCAGTTTTAGAGCGGATTTATCTGTTTTCGACCAGGTTACTTTAACTATTCAGCAAGATATATACGAAAACAACCTATTGCCATAAAAAAAATGTCAAAATGTGATATATCGGTTTTTGTTCCGACGCTCCTCAATTGTAAAAATTTAAAGAAACTTATCAAAGTCTAACTCACATAATCATAATCATTAGGTTAGACAAAGCCAGAATAATAGGTATCTCATAAATATAAAGGATATTCTGTAGCAGATAATAACATCGCTGTAAATATCAACGAAGTATTTGAATGAGCTGGATAAACTCACAGTCTCTTAGCTAAATATAGAACAGTCTTTCATTAGCCGCATTGATGGCGTCTTAATATAGTTAAGAAGCACCCACGGAACGTATAAATAATTTTCATCACATTATTTTATACTCTAGGGCGAAGAAATCGGTATGCTGGATGGATTCGTCCCATGGAGTGAGACTAAGGACCCACTAGCTTGCAACACTGATGATCCCGTCAATTTCATTGAGGTTTCCAGAGATCCAGTCCGTACACCTTTTCCATGGAGCAATGGCAAAAATTCAGGTGAGATGTTATTTTAGTTACACTCGATTTTATACTCGATTAACTCACTACGCGAATGATACACCTCTTAAAACGTTTAGATCTTGCTATCAGCATTTATTTTGACGACCTTCGTGGCCGAGTGGTTTGTACGCCGGGTTTCATGGCTGTCGCCGACTCGAGAGGTCCCGGGTTCGAATCCCGGTGGCGGTAGATGTTTGTGTGATGAATACGAGCATTTGTACTCCAGTCATGGATGTTTAATATGTATTTATATAGATATACTTATATATGTACAGTATATGTATTCTATCCGTTACCCTAGCATCCCATAACACAAGCCTTATAGTGCTTACTTTGGGGCTAGGCTAATTGGTGTGAGTGTCGGAAATATTTATTTATTATTTATAACTAAAAGTATGTTTTACTGGAACTTACATGATGTTAATATAAAATTAGAGCTGCGATTGTAGAAGTCAAACAATTTACTCAATTGCTGTTTATAAAATAGGCGACTATGTAGGTATCTCTTATCTATTAGACAAGTCCGTCCGTCCGTCCGTCCGTGGTGCTGTTTCAGCGGCCAAACCGTAAGAGATAGATATAGAGAATGTTTAAGTTATAAGTTAAGAATAGTCTGATAAGACTACAAACCGGATTTGAGTAACGTAGCACTTCCGGTTTTCGAGAAATCACGTGATTTCTATTTCAAACGAAACCACACAAAATCTCCGAAGTTCTCAATTAATTAAATACTTTTTTTTTTTGGTGAACATTTGGTTCACTGGTTTGCTAGTCTCTTATCTATTAGACAAGTCCGTCCGTCCGTCCGTCCGTGGTGCTTTTTCAGCAGCCAAACCGTAAGAGATAGACAAAGAAGTGCATCTTCGTGGAGTCCACGTATATGCTTTCATGCTCCAGCAGCGATATCTATACTTATAATAAATCTGTAAAGAGGTCAATTCTGTACATGAAATATATTTTCAAAATAACTATCAGGGGGTGATTAGTGATAGATACTGATGCCAAAAATGCAATCAGTAAAATTTTGTCTGTCTGTCTGTCTGTATGTATGTTCCTTATAGAAACAAAAACTACTCGACGGATTTTAACGAGACTTGGTACAATTATTCTTCATACTCCTGGGCAGGTATAGTATACTTTTCATCACGCTACAATCAATAGGAGCAGAGTAGTGAAGGGAAATGTTGGGAAAACGGGAGAAGTTACTCCATTTTTTAAGCTTCCGTCGCGTGTGCAGCCTTAATAGTTAAACTTACATAGAAATCATGTATGACGGAAATATTCTACATAAAATTGTCTACAATATCCCGCAACAGCATAATTATGTCTATCTTTTATGGTTGACTCACAATAAAACGTGTAATTATATAAATAAAGTCATTGTTTATAGCACAAGCCTGAGAACAAAAACTATAGTTTACACTACAGCTCTACACCGAAGCGAAGCGAGGGCGGGCCACTAATCGTTAATAAATCTATAATGATTACAAAATAACTTACGAGAGTATTTTTTTTTATAGATAGGTCCGACAAATGACTCCACCCCACCTGATGTTAAGTGAAGGTGAAGTCCAGACGCGAAGATAGCTGATACGGCAGTTCTACCTGCCTCACCAGCCATCCTCACCCTGTCGGCCTGCATGTTGCTTCTTCACGTCTCTTTTAAAGGATCCCAGGTTGTAAGAGGGAGGGAACACGAGAGCGGGCAGAGCATTCCATTTACGGATAGTGCGACAAAGAAATGAGTCACCAAATTTCTTTGTACGCATTGAAATTGTGGCCACAGTTAGACGGTGACAACGTAGGCAAGCGCGCGTGGTCCTCTGAAGGAAAGGGGAGGGTGGGATAAGAGAGAATAACTCCTCAGAACCCTCGCCGTGTTAAGCATTCACACAGATTCCATACTCGTGAATACAGATCGCACAACATAATAAGGGACGGTGTTCGAAAACTTAATATAGATCGATCAACCCTTTATGTGAGCTTTACGGTTTTGTTAAAGCAATGCTGGTAATACCGGCGATACCCAAGATACCCGAAAATTGAGAAGAACGGTTAATGCTCAACGAAGTGTGTAAAGATTTTCCTGCACAATCTGAGATAGGAATTTTACATAGACAAATGAGTTCCTATAATAAAGAAAGCTTTTCTTGTGCGCAACATTAAATATTTCAGTTTTACTGTAGTGCATCCATTTTACACACATATTGACATGGATATTGATTTTTAATATTTAGGAATTTTATACCAAATATTTTCTGGTAAAGTTCTTATTGAGTTATAAATACCACGCAGTTTAAAGCTTTTAGTTTTAAACTGCGTGGTATTTGGCGACCTCCGTGGCCGAGTGGTTTGTACGCCGGGTTCCATGGTGTCGCCGACTCGAGAGGTCCCGGGTTCAAATCCCGGTGGGGGCAGATGTTTGTATGATGAATACGAGAATTTGTACTACAGTCATGGATGTTTAATATGAATTTCTATAAAAAAAAAATATTTATATTATGTACAGTATATGTATTCTGTCCGTTACCCTAGGATCCCATAACACAAGCCTTATAGTGCTTACTTTGGGGCTAGGCTAATTGGTGTGAGTGTTGGAAATATTTATTTATTTAGTTTATAACATAAAAAACTTACTCCTAAAAGGTTCACGTTATAAATCCGCGCGGGTCCACATCGGATCCACGCGTGAAAATACGGAATAGCACTGCTGATATTAAAGTTTTGTGGTAACGGCGGGCAACTACGGAACGAAAAGTATTATACAAATCACCTGTGACATATATAACTCGTTTTCATCAAAATGGCGTATAAGCGATTTTACTTTTATACTGTCGATATGCTAAATTTTAATAACTAATAAAAAAAATCACGCGGACCAGGCAGCGGACGGGACTCGAACCCGCACCCTTCGCAATCCGGGCGAATGCACTGACTATTATGCTACCACGGCCCTCATGGCCGCGTCGAAATTTTCCCAGCCTTAAGGCAGCGCCATTTCTTCGCATTGTAGGTAAAAGGTAACATCAACTACAACTTCTTTAGTTGCTATTTCTTCTTTCAAATGCTTAATCCTTGAAAAAGTATTCATTTGACATTGTGGGTTACCTACAATCCGAAGAGATGACGCTGCCTTGCAGCTTAAGGCTGGGAAAATTTCGACGCGGCCAATAAGGCCGTGGTAGCATAATGGTCAGTGCATTCGCCCGGATTGCGAAGGGTGCGGACCGGACGGGACTCGATCCCGTCCGCTGCCCGGTCCGCGTGAATTTTTTCTAGTAACCTTTTCTTTAGATTTAAAACATCTAGCAGTTAAACGCTTAAAAATAAATAAAAACATAACTTTCACAACTAATACTTAAAACTCCGATGGACAATGTAAATAATAAATAATAATAAATAAATAATAAATAAGTATTTCCAACACTCACACCAATTAGCCTAGCCCCAAAGTAAGCACTGTAAGGCTTGTGTTATGGGATGCTAGGGTAACGGATAGAATACATATTCAGTACATATATAAGTATATTTATATAGAAATACATATTAAACATCCATGACTGGAGTACAAATGCTCGTGTTCATCACACAAACATCTGCCCCCACCGGGATTCGAACCCGGGACCTCTCGAGGCGGCGACACCATGAAACCCGGCGTACAAACCACTCGACCACGGAGGTCGTCAAAATGTACTTTGTAAGATGGCGCTTTCCGTTTTTTTCTCTTCGCGTGTAGAATGAGATTGGTTATAAAGTTATGTTATATTTCCATACCTATGTCGATCCCTTGACCCCGCGGGTACTTCACAGGGTCACGTAAATCGAGTGCTCGTAGTCAGCTGTATACGAAGCGACCTACGACGGTCGACCGACGGCATGATTACGCCGGGATGTCAAGTTACAGTGTCATCTCGACAAATTGCCGCGCCAGCAATATTGTCGCGAGATTGGTTATTTATTTTTTAAATAACTTTAAAACATGATGCGATGCTGTTTTTATTGAACTTGCAATATATGTATGTGTCGGATGGGCGAGCGGGATATAGGCGGTTGGCCACGTGGTTTTTCTTGATCCGCCATCTTGGTTATTCAATGATATTTCCCGAAAATAAAACTGTAGTGTAGTGACCAAGCTAACGTTTAATTTGAATCTTCTTATTACTTTACAAAATCAGTTATGATTGCCAAGGTACAAACGGATTGCTTTGCGAAGCGCGGAGAGTTCTGTGATAACGTCCGTTCACTATCGCGGCTCACGTCTGAATGCTGAATGCCGAATGCCCCTTCCAATGACGCATAGCCCCTTAAATACTACCCTTAGCATAGACCACTCCCAAGTGATGACAGCTGTCACTGTCATTACTTGACGTTTCACAAGGCAATGGTACTCTTGACTGATGACATTTGTTGTCGGTTTAACGTTTCGAAGGAGCGAGTGAGACGCCATCCGCCGACATATGTATGTTCGGGAAAAAACTTGCAACTGATTTTTAAAGCAACGGTTGGGGATCAATTTTCGTATACCTCTAACCTATGTCAAAACCGCATTTGCACGATCACATCTCGCCTTCAAACAACCCTTCATCTACAACTTAGAACTCGTAAATGTGATGTAAAAACTTACACTATAACTCAGGTCCTAAAATGGCTTTTAACACTGTCATATACTGAAACAGAAAATCTTTTGAAAATCACCTAGTAACAGTCATGGATGCCCAAATACACTTAATGCATGCACATACACACACCACACACACACCCACACACACACACATAAAATACATACACTTAAACACAGACGCACTTAATTGCATGAATTACTAATTAAAAAGTTTTATATAATTTAAGCGCTAGTAAAAACCTTTGTTTATTTCTTTATTTTGTCCGGTCGCCACCATACAGGCATGTCCTAGTGTGGAAGCCGTAGGTAACTTTATAATAATTTCAATGTTGTAAACTAAAAATTGTTTAATATCATTGTAAACTTTATTTTTCAA